TAGGCGTCAGTAATTGACCGATTTCAATATTCAAAATTTAAATTGAAAGAAAACTTTCTCCCCTTTTATTAATTTTATGTTTTATGTATCGTTTGACAAATAAAATTAAGATTAAATTTAAAAAAAAATGACAGTGCCTTGAAGCTTAAAATTTGATGACCGAACCACAAAATACACGTATCAGCTAAATGGAAAACAACATTTTTCATAACAATTAAAGGATAAAGTGTTTAATAACAATTAAAGGATAAAGTGAGGTAAGATATATCTAGCTATAGCTTCATATGTGTCAGCAGTTATCGAGTTTTTTTATTGGTCCTAACGGGTCTTTTACCTACAGACTAGGATGTAAAAAACTTCACCTGATTGGTCTAAATTATGTTTACAGCCTAGCAGATAATCGAATACTTTGGTAGTGAGCATTGGCAATAATAAAGCTTAAAATATAGAATGCTTGAAGATAAAATTTTGTATGCCATTCGGCTTAAAAGGTTCTTTTGTGCTTTGTTCAAGACTAAAGCTCAGCATACAGCTCACTTCTTGGACGAATTACATAAAAAACTATTAAATTAAGGGTACATTATATTTTAACTATAACCTTTTATTTTCAAAAAGTTTGCTTAACTAATACATTTTTAACTGATTTATTTAATAAATTATATTTAACTATTTAGTATTGTGGGTAACTGTCAACAGTAAATATACAGCACATATTTTTGTACTTCAAATATAGGACGAGATATGAGACATTTTCCGGTTTCACGAAAACCAGATAGAGGACGCATTTGATGGAAGGGAGATGCATGATACGCTACGCATGAAACAGTATAGAAATTTGCACGTGCAGCGACAACGTACTTTTATCAGTTGATGACGTCAGAGGATAAAGAGAGACGGAAGATAAATATGCGCGTGGACATACCTTCTTGTCTTAGTACCATGGTTACAAATAAAGTGAAATATTTGACAGCTAACTAATTACATTAATTATTTTTCTTTTGGCCGCTCAGCTTTTCTCGCAGCGTTGCAGCGTAGGCAACTACATCACATTTGACAAAATTTTATTAAAACCTATGGGGTCCTATGGGGAAAAAGTGATTTCTACATTTATGTGTATTTTCCCCATTGAAATCAATAGCAAATAAATCAAGGGTGAAGGATATCCCTATAGAACAACCATAATTTCCAACTAGGGGTCCTAAACATACCGATACACCCTATAGAAAAACCATACATTCCGATACAAAAATCTATCGGTTTGAACAGGGTCTCTATGGGGTATTTTAAGCAGGGATATCCTAATATTCACAAAAAAAAGTTGTGTGGAGGTAAGAATTGTTAATGCGAGTTAAGAAAATTTAAATATAAATCTGTAAGTATTTAAACTTTCATAATTGTCCCTCCTGTGAATTTATTATCTAAAACAAACCTTTATAAACTCTATAGTGTTTGTAAAGGTTTGTTTTAGACAATAAATTCACAGGAGGGACAATTATGAAAGTTTAAATAGTTACAGATTTCCTTTTAAATTTTCTTAACATGCGCCACCATCAATGAAGATGTTTAAAAATTTTTTTTTTTTGGAATTTGATGAAAAAGGTATTATAATAAAACATGTTTTAGAATATTTTTTTATTCTGTAGATTTCTGTAACAAATACTCGCACAAAATGTGAACTTTTAAATCATCCTTGGAAGATTTTAGTTTAAAAAAGTAGGTTTCAATAAAGGAATAGATCACTAAACCACGCACACTTACGTATATATCATTCGACGTCTCGACGTTAAAAGAAATCACTACAGAATCCATAAGATACTTGTTTTTTTTGCCTGTTTCTGAAAAGTAGTAGGGTACCGTTTAATGAGAAATTTATTGGTTTTATGAAACTGGTACATCAATACAACGAACATTTCATACTTGATAACATATTCCTTATATTGATGAAATCATTCATTAATATAATGTAACATAATCGTTGAGTTGATAATTTGTGTTCATTAAAACACTTTAATTATTAATGAACTAATACATTAATAAAATAAAGCTTGATCATTAAGTTAATAACTGTAGTTCGTTACTTCAATGTTTTCTATTCATTAACTGATGACGTTGGCATTAATGCAATAATTACTGTTCATTAAAGTTCCAAAATGCAAACGATACATGAATTTATTGATTCAATGAAAAAAATCATCATTTTGATTTAAATTGTATTGCGGTAATTACCACTTTACATTAATTTAAGGACGTGACATTCATTATCTGGATGAATATAAATTCTGAATTCATAATATTGATTTATGAATAGCATTTCATTACCTTAATGAAAAAGTTCATTTACGCAATGAAATATGAGTTAATAATGGTGGTTCATTCATATTATGAACAATATTTTTTTCAGTGTTTCTTTGGTTGTTGGCTATGAAAGCGAAAAGGGCTATTGGATTTTAAAGAATTTCATGAGATTTTTCTGGGATGAAAACGGTAACGGTTACGTTGGTGTGTTTCGTAATGCCAACTACCCACAATTATAAACTAAATACAATTTTTTTTAAAATTTGTTATCTATGTATAAATTATAAAATAAATAAATCGTTTAATAAAATAATAATGTTTTAATTAAACAAACTAAATTGATTTAATTGTAAAAAAAACGTATTATAATGCCTTATTTAGCCAGAATATTATTCCCTTTTAAGATATTTTCTTTAAATATTTATAAGTAAAAGCAAATTACTCTATCTATAATTACATGGATAAATGAACCTGTCGCCAACATAACGAATTGATAATTACTGATCAATTTTCTAGTACAACACAGCCTTATTTTATTTAACCTATTATGAAAGAAAATTCACAAAACAGTTTATAAATAAATCTTCTTGGTTAAAACAATATTTCTTGTGGGGACACAACATAATTTGTTATGCAATAAAAATATATGTAGTGTAAGGTAAAGTAATGTTTATAGGCATAATTCATCATTTTTAATCATTATAATTTAGTTTAGATAAATAAATAATAAACATTTACTACAGTAGCTTTACATCTGTCTGAAAACAATAGACGCCTCTTATTGCTTATTTACCTATTAATATTTAACATTTTAAAATATTTATATAAACGTTCAGCGATTTGCTGAGCACTATAGTGCACACACAAGTTTTAGTAACAGATATTATCGAAACAATAATAAAATTGATACGCATCTTCAAAACTAACCGCACGTTGTGCGGCACACAATAAATATTAATATTTTTGTAGCATCCACAATAATACCTAAGATTAAGCTCACTTATTCTTCTTATCGATTATATAATTGTTTACACATTAAATTTACATGGTATCTAAGGTAGATAGGTATGTAATAATTTAATCATGATATATCTTAATATTTCCTAGATATAAATCAACAATATTATTTGTCCCACACTAACTTAGAATTAAGACATAATCCTCTCAAAAACAATGGACAAAGTAAGATATTGTTACACTAGTTGAACAATAAAAATATTGTACCACTACTGTAACAATTAAAAAGAAGAAAAAGGCAATATTGTTAACAAAAATTATAATTATTATAAACAATACAATACTTACAGCTACTTTTTTACACACAGTTGATACATACCTACTTACATAAATAAATAATTTTAAACTTGGTTAATATAAAATATATATATATATAAAATTTATTTAAAATTAAATTATAAAGGCAAATAGGTAATCCCAAAAAACATATAAAACAATATTAGAAAACGTAATATTTATAAATAAATACCTAATTGCTCTTTGGAATTAAATTTTAAAGGCAATTAATTCCAAAAACAATGTTATAAAACTTAACCTCAAAAACCAAAATACCTATCTGTCAAATAATTTGTATTAATTTTTGTTTAAATTTTTATTTGTTTTTGGGAAAAAAATAATATTTGCAATTTGTAAAGAATAGTCAATTATGGACCCGAATTCTTGCCCCGCTCGCTGAGCTCGCGTGCCAAACGAATGCTCATTTATAATCGACTATGTTCTTCACACCCTTTTCATTTCTTACCTTAACAGGTGGGCGAAATTTTACTTCTCCCACTAGTGGGAGAAATAGCATTTCGCACACGGGATGAAGTTAGCTTTAAGTTAAATTTGGAAAAAAGTAAAGTTAAAACTAACTCGCTACGCTCGTGAGGAAAACTTTACGCTCGAGAAATCTCCTCGTTTTATTTCTTAACTTTAACCGGTGCACCGCGGTGGGCAAAATTTTACTTCGCACAATAGTGGTCGATATAGGATTTCACCCACGGGCTGAAGTTGCCTTTAAGTTAAAATTGGAAAAAAGTGAGGTTAAAAATGTTTGACAGCTGTCAGATGTTAGATAAAATATCAAATAAAACTGGCTTTAAATTCATTGCGGTTGTATAAAATATTGTATGTGACTATTGGTCGAGAGAGGAGATCCCACTCGCTTGTTACCGCACTCGCTCTTACGGCAAACTCAATAATCGAGAAATCTACTCTTTCTCCCATTAGCTGCACATTTTAATATAAACTTTAGAACTACAAATCGAAATAAAACTTAAAAATTACCCTTTTGAATTTTTTTTTGATTGAGTGAATATACTATGTCGTGGTTTTAATATGTCTAGAATATGTTGTTATTTTTCAAGCAGTTATGCCCATTAAAATTTGACATTTTTAAGATATTTATCTACCTTAGTAAGAGTAAGAGTAAGTATAAGAGACATATAACCGGCCCCATTGGGGAGGATATTTGAGTAGTGAGGTAGTCAGGAAAGTGCAAAATTTGCAATTTTTGACGCCACGTGTTCATAAAGAAATATGTCCATCGGCAAAATTAAGTAATTTCAACCTGGGAAAAAGAACTGGAAGACCTATGTGGCCAGGTTGAAACAATATTTTAAAGTGAATAAAATAGAAGAGGAATTAAAAGTGCCCACATTTTTAACGGTAGTAGGAGACGAAACCTATGAATTAATGGTGGATTTATGTATACAGGAAACACCGGAAATGAAAAAGTACAAAGATCTAGTGGAAATATTGGCAAAGCATTTGGAACCAGCACCATCCATCATAGCGGAAAGTTCCGAAAAAGAAGACAAGAGCAGGGTGAGACCGTTGCCCATTTTCTAGATGCACTGAAAAATTTAGCAAGAGACTGTGATTTCAAAACCACTCTGGATGATAATCTGAGAGACACATTGGTCTCAGGGCTAAAGTGCGAAATAATCCAGGAAAGATTATTTTCGGAAAAGGATTTAAGATTTACCAAAGCATATGAGTTGGCAAGAAACATGGAAGCAGCAGAAAAGGATGTTATGTTTATGGATAACACTTCAAAGGTCAAAGGTCAAACCGAATTCAAGCGGCCAGTTCAAATGAATAAAGTGGTGGTAGTGGTGCGCGCGCAAAGCAGTTTAAAAATGTTGGATATTCGCGAAATAATGCAATGCCCAACAAAGAGCATGCGTGTTTTTGTTGTGGAAGAAGAAACTCCCGCCAGGGTGAGTGTTTCTAAAAGAATTCTTCTTGCGACATCTGTGGACAGAAAGGGCATTTAAAGTATGTATGTAAAAAATTGTATAAAAAAAAGAGAAAATAACTATGTTAATTTTGATAATACAAGGAAATGTGATTTAAGGGTCTTAAATGTTAATGAATCAGATTCAGATGGATCTGCAGTTTACAATGTTAAGCCGGGTCTACAATTCTGCCGTGCTTAATGAAAACGCCGTAACCAACAATTTTGCGATTTTTGTTTTACGGCATTTTCTACTAGAACAATTCATCCTGCGTCTATCCCCGGTACTCAAAAAACCGTATCTATATATATACGGTTTTTTGAGTACCGGGGATAGACGCAGGATGAATTGTTCTAGTAGAAAATGCCGTAAAACAAAAATCGCAAAATTGTTGGTTACGGCGTTTTCATTAAGCACGGCAGAATTGTCGCAGGACGCAGATCGCAGTACATAGGCTTGCGCAAAGCACCCAGATGACAAAAGAACCTTGCTTTATCGCCACGTCGTAGGGTGCTTTGCGCAAGCTTATGTTCTGCGATCGGACCCCTGCGACAATTGTAGACCCGGCTTTAATTCTAATACTAATAATGTAACTATAAAAATTAATGTTTTAATAGAAAATATTTTTCTTTTAATGGAAGTTGATACAGGTAGTGGAATTTCACTAATATCGGAGCAAAATTATAATAAATATTTTAAAAGAACTTTTATGAACCAATCTAACATAAGGTTAACCTCATATATGAGGTTACCTATACGTATACAGGAAATGAAATATCTACTAATGGCTTAATTCATGTCAATACAAGAATAAACAGTCAAAATTAAAATTGTACTTTATACCCAACCGTTGGGTCCCAACGGAGGACCGTCTTTATTGGGTCGTGATTGGCTCAAGGCCTTACAAATCAATATAATAAATAATGTTGCAGTAAATAATATACAAGGTAGCAAATGTAAGGAAATTAATAATTTAATAAATGAGTTTAAAGTAGTTTTTAATAAAAAGTTAGGTAAATACAAAATTTTTTAATGTAAACTTTATTCAAAAGAAAATACTATTCTAATATTTTGTAGAGCGCGGTCTCTACCAATACATTTAAAATGTAAGGTAAAAAATGAATTAAATAAATTAGTTGAACAAGATATTTTAACACCTGTGGATCATAGCGACTAGGCTAGTCCAGTTGTGCCTGTGCTTAAATTAGGCTTTGCGGGGATTTTAAAGTTTCAGTAAATCCTAATTTACGCATTCATAACAAGTTTGTGGAGCAATAGGAATATATGTCACTAGATGTGAATTACGGAATTACAAGTTTTTAGTATTGCGAATAGCAACGTGCAAATATTAATAAAACACTTATCCGAATTTTGCGGATGCCCCTTGTTTCTTCTGATTGATATAAATTTTCCGCCACAATGAACAGGTGGATGACAGGGGTGACACTATACACTTTGGACTTTAGTCCTGGACGGTGAGGTGATTATGCACCTTGGGATAATACGTACTGTCGCACTGTTATTTATCTACCTAAGCATAACATAAAAATAAAAATAAAATTTTAGTTTGTTCAATAAAAACATAGTTATTTTATAAATGATTTATTTAAAAATTTAAAAAAAAGTACAAAAGTAGGTTACAGTTGTGGGTAGCTAGCATTTTATAGATATTTTTCGTTATTTGGCTCGGTACGAATCTGGGTAATTTGGTTATAATGGCGCTAGAGTTAACTCGGCAGCTTCTATCAAAGCCTTCATAAGAATAATTGGCTTAACTGTTAATTTTCAATGCATCCGACAAACTTCTTCTAAAAGTGTTTAATATTGGTTATTAGGGTTTATTTTAAACTCTTCCCTTATTTCTTTATTAGCCAAGGCAGACGCTAAGCATACTCGTACTTGAAAAAGGACAACTTTGGTGATATGTTAAAATCCCCAACACCAAAACAAAACACAAAGTTCTTAAAGTAGTTTTCGCCAACGATGTTGGGATCTTAGGCATTGTTAGAGATTATTTGTAAATGCATATACCTAGTTAATAATCTTATTATTATTATTAATATAATATATTACTCTCTAAAAATATATTAGTTAAAGATGACTAATTTAATAGTTATAAGTGGCTTTTTTTCACTTTTTTACTCCGAAAATGTCAGTAAAAGTTAAAAAAGTAGAACAGTTTTTGAGATATAAGTAGTCAATTTCCCTTTTAATATGAAATTGACTACATCTTAAAAACTGATCCACTTTCATAATTTTTTATGGTATTTTCGGATTTATGGGACAATTTTACATAGGAATTGGCTGTTAAATTTTGGGATACCATGGTATTTTGTGGTTAACCATGGTACAAGTGCAGCCACTAATAACTATTAATTTAGTCATTTTTGACTAATTCATTTTTAGAGAGTATATTGATGTATTATCCAAACTTTTGCCAAACTTTCTTTACAGCATTTACTAATGCTTAAAATGTTCGATTATCATTTGAAAATTTTTATTTATGATATACTTTGATAAACTTTGATTATTCACCTATTGAAAAAACTGAAAATATCATCGTTATATCTGTTTAGGTTATATTTGAAGAACCACACCTTAGAAGTGGTGGAACGTAATGAATAAAGATTAAAATTAAAAATCTAAAAAATCTTTATATTATTTATACCAATGAACTTCCCTTTGTTATTAAGGAGAAAATAATTACAATGACGCGTTCATATTAAGTTAGGACGAAATTGAAAATGCAAATAACCATATTTGCTGAATAAAAAAATGTATCCATAAAAAGTATACTTTGTTGGGTAAATTTTTTCGAACAAACTTTTTAAGGCTAAAATCTTTTATATTATTTATATTATTTACATTTTTTAATTATCAATATTTAATTTTCCTTTGAATATGATAAATAATATGATTAGAAGAATTTAGAACGGTCGTCCTTGCGTTGTCAGTCACTGAAAAAGATGACTCGCCTGACATGTAATTGTCCTTGTCGTCAAATATATGAACATTGTCTCTAGGGTCCTGTTTTCTGCTCGTATCTTACGAAATTTTCAAGAAATGCGACAGAAAGTGAATCAGGTTAAACAATAAAATGTTATGGATGTTAACAATTAAAGCTTAGGAATTTATTTATTGCGACAACTTTCATTAACAAAAATAAAAAAAAAGTAAGACATGAACAATTGTAGTCCTTAATATCTATTATGTAGGGTTTTTTAATTACAGTTATTTGTAGTTATGGAATGAACCTAAAAGAAATACACATGACCTTATTTTTATTATAAATTATTTTGATGCGTATTTGATTTTTAATTTAAAAAAGTATTGCTATTGAAAGTGGAAAAACATTTAAATTCCTACATACATGCCGCAACTATCTAAATTAATAATTACATAATTACTTAATTAATAGAGAAGATTTATTTATTTATTAAAGTTATTTATTAAATGCTAAAAATGTTTTATACAGGTCTTGCAATAAGGTTTAATTGAAGTTTTTTTATATTAATGTCCTATAAATATTTATTTTATTTTAAAAATCTTAAAATATATTTGGAAGGAAATTATTTTTCAATATTTTCAGAAATTTAACAATAAATTTGGTAAAAGTAATTAATATAATCTAAATTAATAATTAGATAATTACTTAATTAATAGAGAAGATTTATTTATTTATTAAAGTTATTTATTAAATGCTAAAAATGTTTTATACAGGTCTTGCAATAAGGTTTAATTGAAGTTTTTTTATATTAATGTCCTATAAATATTTATTTTATTTTAAAAATCTTAAAATATATTTGGATGGAAATTATTTTTCAATATTTTCAGAAATTTAACAATAAATTTGGTAAAAGTAATTAATATAAAAAAACCGTTCAATTGGAATAATAAATAAATGAACAATTCATACTTATATAAATTTAAGATTATATTTGAATCGGTGAGAACAGTCCAAAAGTCAAAATTTTGACAAAATATTTCAAAAAATCAGTTTTATAGTTCTAAACACAATCCACACAACAAGGTCTGTTCGATCTCGTGTAAAAATACTAAAAATCACTGCAACACATGGGCGCCGGAAGGAATTCGTCTAGGGGGGGGCCCTTAAAGTTTTTTACAATTTTGATAGATGTTATTTATAATCAAGTTGTACTGTAGAAGTTCACATTAAACTTAGTCAAATAAAATATCATCTTTATACAGGGTGTCCCAAAAGTCAACGAGATCCTTTGGAGAACTGATAGACCAACTCATGACAAAGCAGAAAATCAAAATATGACCTTAGTAAAAAATCGTTAGTTTTTGACATTTTATGAATTTTGTAAATCTTGACACCTTAGATTAGTTTTTCGAGTGCCACAGCTACAAAATCTGCTATTAATTTAATTTTGAATTGTAATTAATAGCAGTCCTATTCAGGGTTTTTGTGTAAAGTTTCACAAAATTCATAAAAATGCCAATATCTTAAAAACTAATGATTTTTTACCAAGGTCATGTTTTGATTTTCTGATTAGTCATGAGCTGACCTATGAGCCCTTCAAAGGATATCGTTGACTTTTGGGACACCCTGTATGTATATTTGTAAATTTTACACAATTATTAGCACCATCTGTTTATCAATTCACTAGGCTTATGAAGAAATCTCTTCTATAGTCGACTTTTTCAACATATATAGTTCGTATATAGAAATATGTCAGCCAAGAAAGTGTCTTACTCAGGGATGGGCAAGATCCGGCAAAAAGGATTTAAATCTAAATCCATAAATCCACACCATAAACCATAAACTGGATCTAAATCCTCAATCATAAATCCATTACGTTATCTGGATTTAAATCATAAATCCCAAATCCACTTTCAAAAAAGGATTTAAATCCTGAATCCATAAATAAATCCTCTATTTTTTTAATATTTATTTCATTAATTTTCCAAGAACAGTTTCCGGATTATTTCAATTTTTAAGTTTTATTTAAGCTAAAACCCCTTGGATTCCAAATTAAAATTGATATGAACCTTATTGCACGTATATAAGATTC